AAAAAACAATTACAAATGAATTCTGTTCTTTATGTATTTTATACAAAGATATTTGTGGTATTAGTGGTGGTGTTTGTGTACCACTGAATTGCTTCTGTCTCATAGTGACCCTGTCTAAGGTTTCTGAGGCTGTAAATGTTTATAGAAACAAAAAGCCTCTTCTTTCTCCCAAGTAGCGACAACTGGTAGATTCTACTGACCTTGTGGTTTTTTTTTATGAGCACAGCTCATAATCCATTCAGCTTCCAGTGCTCCTTCACAGGATAGCGCTGTTGTTAAGTGCCATGGAGTTGACTCTGACTCATAGCAATCCCCTGTCAAGGGGTTCTAAGGAATGGCTGGTAGGTTTGAACTGCCGACCTTGCAGTTCAAACTGACTTTACAGTCTAGTGCATTATCCTTCAGCACCACACTACACTCCAAAAGGGTATTGTTGTTATTAAGTGCTGTTGAGTCAGTTCTGATAGGCGTCCTGTTTAGGGTTTCCAAAGAGCAGCTGGTGAGTTTGAACCGCCAACTTTGCAGTTCAAACCGACTGTGCAGTCAAGTGCTTATCCTACAGATCCACACCAGAACTCTAAAAGGATATTAAAGGGATCTAATTCATACCTTCACCTAGCTACATTTCTCATATTCCGCTTTCTTTTCTCCTCATATCTCTCTATCCAGAGCATCATTCACCACCACACATGATTCTTTTCTACCCGCATCCCACACAGACGTTCCACTAAACCTTCAATGTGTTATTGTATAGATCTTCTTAACCTTTCTTGCAAAGAACTTCTCATGCCTCTTTTCTGTCTAGTCTTTGATTCTAGGGTCTGGCAAAGACAAACTCAAGTTGGGGGTTTTTTGGTGGAGAAGGGAAAATTGGATCAGTAATAAGGGGATGTTCACTGTTGGACAGAGAGAGAAATCGCAGGACATTTTTACATTAATAATTTGTATCCTATCACAAATTAATTCAAAATAGAAGTATTTTATACCATATTGTTTATTGATTGCTTATCATGTCTTTTTATTCACATGTTACTGAATGTTTGGTGGACATTTAAATATTGTACCTACTACTGACAATCAGAATCTTGGTATGGCTGTAGGATAAGCACTGGACTGCTAACTGCAAAGTTGGCAGTTCAAACTGCTAAATGCAAAGTTGGCAGCCACTCCTATACAAGGTCACTATGAGTTGGAACCGACTCAAAGGCACTTACCTAACTTAACTGAAAATTAGGAGTCCTGGTGTGGCACTGTAAGTAGTTAAAACTCACCAGCCAGCTGCTCCTTGAAAACCCTATACAGGATCTCTATGAGTCACAACCAACTCAGCAGCACTTACTAAACAATTGGCAATCATAATTACCTTCCTTATTTATAAGTATGTTAATAGTAGACAGGACATAATATTTTAATCTAAAACTGATTTTTAATATACATGTAATATTTCAAGAACAGGTTCTTCAGAATCCATGCTGAATTTTCAATACTAATTCCCCTTTTGGGATGAGTTAGAATTCTAATAGCACAGTGTGTAGAACATCACAAAATAAATGAGATAAATATTCCTTTTGATACCATGGTTATTATATGGGCGCCCATGAATCTCCATGACAAATATCGATAGGCCTCTAACTATGTCACTTGAGGGAACTCAAAATTTTTGCGTTGAATAAGTAAAACTTTAAAAATAGGTATCATGAAAATTAAGCATTGAATTTTGCTCCACATTCTTTTTATAAATATGAACATGAACAGATTATATCTTACAATGCACATAGATGGAAAAATATTATTGATTTTGTTAACCCCAGTTAGTCATTAATTACTGTGTGCATATTTTCATTTTGGTGACATATTATGCAAAGTATTTGTGATTAGATTTAAACAACCAAATTAGACTTTTCAATTAGAAGCATTCATTTCATAGATATATCTATCAGGTACATTCTATACAAAAGGCTCTATCTAAGGTGCTGGAGAAAAGAGAAATCATAAAAAAGATATCAGGCAAGAAGTAGCCCAAAAGAACCCTAAAAATCAAATGAAGCTAATAAAACATCCCCACAAGTAAGTACAACTACAGGGTTAAAAGTGTTAAGTGTCTTCAGAGAGATTTTGAAAAAGTGTTCAGAGAATCTTGAGGAGGGAGAGATGACTTAGGAATGGGAACATCAAAGACAACTGTGGAAGAGGGAGCACATGACCTGGACATTGATGGATGGTTCATATTTGGATGTATAGAAATTCAGAAGAAGTTCAATTCAGGAGATGGGAATGTTAAACAAATGCAAGAGATGTTTAGGTGGAAAGGTGCTATTCAATTGTGCCAGAAGGAGAGGGAGTGGTGGAAAATAAGATTGAAAGGATAGTTTGCAAAGTTTGGATTTGCTTAACACAGGTTAAGAAATCTTTCTTTGCAGAAAGAGAACTCAGGCGCTGATAAGCAGAGATGAACATAAGATTATTAAGAGTCTTCCAGAAGGAAGGGATGCAAAAAAAAAAAAAAATTCTAAGCAAGAGAGCAGCCGCAGGGGCAGGCAGTATGGAAGGATGCTGAATGTCTGGGGAATGGTGAGAAGTTTGTTATGGCCGGAATATACAGGGAATAAGCAGGGCTGGAAGACAAGGCCAGAAAGGAAAGTGGCAAATTCTGAAGAGAGTGATGTGCGAAGTTTTAGTGTTAGTATTTATCCTATACAGACTCAAGAAGTTAGCAGAGAGTTTATGAGTAAAGTTAATTAGGTAGGTAGGAGTATGGATTAGCAGGGGTTGGCAAATGTTTTCTGTAAAGGGCCAAATCATTGTAAATGTTTTTTTTTAACTTAGTGTTTTATCTTACATATATATGTATATATGTATATATATATATATATATAAAATTAGACTCATAGAGACCTTGTATAGGGTTTCTGAGACTGTAAATCCTTACAGGAGCAGAAAGCCTCATCTTACTCTCACAGAGCACCCGATAGATTCAAATTGCTGACCTTGCAGTTAGCAGCCTATCTTGTAATCTGTTACACTACCAGGGCTATATATATATATATACACACACACAGAGAGTGAGCCCTGGTATGTATGACACTGTAGGATAAATACTGGACTGCTAACTGCAAGGTTGGCAGTTCAAATCCACCAGTCACTCCTCGGAAACTTTATACATAGTCACTATGACTCGGAACCGACTTGACGACACTTAACAACAATAACAACAACATCTTTCTAACTTCCTTCCTCCCTTTCTTTCTTTCTTCCTCTCTCTCTCTCTCTCTTTCTCTCTCTCTCTCTCTCTCTCTCTCTCTCGCTCTCGCTCTCTCGCTCTCTCGCTCTCTTTCTTTCTTTCCAACATAAAACCCAGTCTTAGCTTCTCTGGCTATGCAGAAACCTGTCTTGGGCTGACTTTGATCCTCCAGCCATAGTTTGCAGACTGTTGGACTAGAGTGACAAGAGAAAAGTGGAGGATAAAATCAGAAACCAGGTGATTGTGCAAGAGAGAAAAGAGGACCTGGCCTGGTCTAAGGCCGTGGTGGTAGCAATAGAAGTAAGGCGATCTATTGGGTATATATTTATAATAGAATCAACTATCCTTCACTGTTGATTGGGTATGGAAAATTAGGAAGAAAAGGACAAACCAGATATAATTCTGAGGTTTCTGGCTTGAGATACTCGAAAGAAAGAGACAGAAAGAGAGAGAAAGAAAGAGGTAGTGGTGCTGGCATTATAACACGGGACTATGGAAGAGTTTTGGAATCTATCGATTCCATTCTGAAACTGCTATGTTTGAGGTACTTTTGGGTCATCCATGTAAAGGTGCTTGGGAACTGTTGGTTCCATGGGTCTAACATGCAGTTTCCTCCCATCTAGAACATTTACCACACAGGAAATGAGAAATTAAGTAAAAAATCTGAAAGTTTGAAGTGTCACATGAATCTTTATGACAGGGAAAGAGCTGGTCTTTGAGAGCACTGGACTGGCAGAAGGATTTAGGATGACTTGTGTCAGGAAGACCAGGTAGAAAGCTTTTCCAATAGATCAGGAAAGTGGAAATGAGCGTAAAATCGAATAGTAGAATGGAACAGCGAAGAGACTTGGCATTGTGTGCATGAGAGAAGGAGACCTTCTGTGATCATTGACTTCAAATTCCAGTATCAAGAGATGATTCTAGTACTCCTGGTGTGATACTGTAGTACTAGATGATTCTAGTACTCCTGGTGTGATGCTCCTGGTGTGATTCACTGGACTGTGAACCACAAGATCAGCAGTTCAAACCCACTAGCTGTTCCTTAGAAACCCTATATAGGGTCTCTATGAGTCAGAACCGACTCGACGGCACTTAACAACAAGATGATTCTACTTCTGTTTTGTTCTTCTAGTTCTTGTTTAAGAAACCTAAAAAAGTGACCAAAGTATTCACAGAGCATATCTTCTGATTATTTTCATAGGTTTTTAATTTTTGTAAATATTTTATAGGACAGTAAACGAACACTATGACTCACTTGAAAAATATATTGTATATTCTCTCTTTTAAAAAGTAAAAGAAAATGTAGAAAGAACAGGGGACTATTTGGGGGAAGTGTTAAACAAAGATTTACAATTTTAGAATTGGGCACATATTAATTCAGGGCTTCAAAATTGTCGGTAAACCTGGGATAACCCCTCAACCAAGGTAAACTTGCATGTTGTCCGCTTTACTGTTAGAAGTCATTACACTGGACCTATACAGTCTCTTCCAGCCTCACTTAGCAGTTCTTCCTTGGAAGTGTGAGTGCCAATGAGCTATGGTAACTCTGTACATCTCTTTCTAGTACAGTAAGCTCCTGTGTTAAAATCCATATGTAATCACCTCTGTCCAGAATGTGCATCTCACTCTAACACTCAAGATGCTTAGTGGCTAGAATAGAAAGAGCACAAAATCTTTTTATTTTGTCTGTTTGGCAATTAACCATTCACTGGCTTTTTTTGTTGTAACATGCACTTCCTTTCTCTTGTTTTCATTCAAGCTGTGTACGCCATGGAAATTAATGTGGAGAAAGACAAACAAACAGGAGAGACCAAGATTCTCTCTGCATCCACCATTGGCCCAGAGGGGGTCCATCAGAGAGGAGTCAAAGTTTATGATGACGGTACCAAAGTAGTCTATGAGGTGCACTCAGGAGGCACCATAGTAGAAAACGGAGTACACAAGTTAAGCACGAAGGATGTAGAAGAGCTTATTGAGAAGGCTGGACAATCAAGCTTAAGAGGAGGGCATGTGTCACAAAGGACTGTGATCGCAGATGGGAATCTCAGTTATCCTAAGGAACACATGCTTTGCAAAGAAGCCAAGTTAGAAATGGTACATAAGTCTCGAAAAGATCGTCCTTCTGGGAACCCAGGGCAACAAGCCCATGCCCCCAGTGCAGAAGGGCTGAAGACAAACTCGGATCAGCCAGTCACCATGATCTTTATGGGCTACCAAAATATTGAGGATGAAGAGGAGACCAAAAAGGTGCTAGGCTATGATGAAACCATCAAGGCTGAATTGGTCCTAATTGATGAAGATGATGAGAAGTCATTGAGGGAGAAGACAGTGACAGACGTGTCCACAATTGATGGGAATGCAGCTGAGCTTGTGTCCGGGAGGCCGGTGTCAGACACCACAGAGCCCTCATCCCCAGAAGGGAAGGAAGAGAGCCTGGCCACAGAGCCAGCCCCAGGTACCCAAAAGAAAAAGCGCTGTCAATGCTGTGTTGTCATGTGACCACTCTTTCTTCCCTTTTCTTCTGGGCAGCCTCTGTGCTCTCTACCACTTACATAGACCTTGCTGTACCACTAACTGCAATACTGTGAACTGGAAGCAGACACCTGCCTTGCCTTGCAGTTGGATTGCTTTGATTTCTCTGATTTTTCTCCTTTCATTTTTCTCCAGCTTCCTCACCTGAGAGACAACATGCATGTGTAAGCTTCATTCTTTCCAAGAACTTGCTTTTTCTCTAAACCTTTCCTTGTGTCTTCAAGAGTGAATCAATTCTTTACTGCTCGATTGGAATGAACTCTTTATATCAACCAGTTCTATAGTAGCCTTAATTCACTTGACTGGAATTTAACCTATTGGCACTGGGAGGGTTCATTTTGTATCGTGTTCCAATATGTAGTCACACACTGCCATCTCCCTGATTCCTCACTTTCCTCCCTGGGTGTGCATCTTTGTTTTTATATCTTGTGTGGCAAAATGCTGTGGGCTCTAGCTGGTTGCTAGTGTAGCCAAAAGTGGACCTTACTTAGTCTGTCAAATCTAGGGTAATGCTTTTTGCTGCCTTATGTAAACTTCCAGATTACAGTATTGTGTATCTATGGCTTTCCTTCTGTTAAAACTGTAATGAAGTTGACATAAATGAACAGAACCAGTGCTTATCACAGCAGAAATTTAGGGACTGATTCTGTGATCTGCCCATCAGCAGTTGTCTCTCTTTCTATGACTTAAACTGATGAATCCTTTATATATAAGAAGCACCATTTTTAATTTTCTAAGGACATGAAACAAACATTGTGTTAAGCATCTGTACTGGTCTCCAAACTTAGATAGGCGAGTCCATGAGCCTTGTTTCTATGTTTTCAAAAAGTATGTAAATTTTTATATTGTTTTCTTTTTTCACGAATATTTTCTGATCATCTGAATATATTTTCCATTAAGGAATCGTATTTGAGGAGTATCTCTGTGATGACCATATTCTTAAAACAGTCTTTCTGACCCAGAGTGGTTACTCAGTATTCCTACTTCTTTGTGCCTGGTGCTCTAACTGTTCATCTCATGTGCACAGTTGATTACAGAGCCTTGCATCTGTACTCTTTTCTTTCTGTCCTCATAAGAAAGAATGTTTCAGGTAACTTCAATATGTAGGTTTACCCTCCTCAAAAAAAAAAAAAAGTTAAAATGTGGAAAAAAAAAATTGAACATGATTAAGGATCTGTTTTCTTAACATTAAATTTATTCAACATACAGATTAAATGGCACAAAGCTGAGCTTCTTAAAGCATTGTTTCTTAAACTTTTGGGGATTCCATAACATCAAAGAATACTTTTAATCTAGAATCTTTTATTCTAGACTACAATGGACAGTTCTTGAAAAAAAATTCTTAGCACCTCCCTTCAAGTCCAAGCAAATAGCCACTATATGAAGTCAAACCAAAGGGAAGCACCATAGTACAATAATAATATAATAATGAGATAAAGATGAAATGTTTTAACTGATTTTAATAATAGAGATATATTACCTTGAAGTTATTTGCCCAGATGTTCGTAGCATTGCTGAAAATTATTCACAAAATTATTTATGTTTCTTAAACATATTTTTTGAAAATATGTTATAAGTTTAACTTCCGTGGAAAGTAGATGGAAAGAAAAGAAAATCGTCTTGAGATAATTTTATTATTGTTGTGTTGTTGTGAAGTGCCGTCGAGTCGATTCCAACCTATAGCGACCCTGTATAGGGTTTCCAAGGAGCAGCTGGTGAGCTTGAACCACCAACCTTGCAGTTCAAACGACTTTGTAGTCTAGCACATTAACCCACAGCACCACACACAGGTCCAACTAAATTTGCCCTATTTAACTAGCTCAGCGCTAAATCTAATCTATTACTATTTTTAATTTTTTGACTTGAAATTAGATTTATTCTGATTGGAAAGGAAAACAAAACTGGATTTTAAAATTTACTCATCTTTAATTTTTTTCTCAAATAATAACATTTTTAATGGGCACAAAGTGAGTCATTGTATCACCAATATGTAAACAAAAAGAAAATTGAAGAAGGAACAAAGCTGTTATCTAAAATGACTCCATCCATGGTTTAGTTTAAGTAGTTGATAGAATTATCTCTAAGTCTTCGGTTCACCAAAGCAGCTAAATTGCATAAAACTGCCTATTTTTTCTACTAGACATCTGGTTTGGATGCCTAGCAATCTCACTATGCTCAACTTTTCGCTTCACATTAAATGATTATTTAAACTTTCAATATAATCCTAAACTAAATAAATCTATTTATAAAGAAGGAGAAAATAGCTTCACTGTTTTGGACAATCTATTTTAATAAATTACTTCGGAAAGAAGCAATCTAAAACTTTATCAAAGCTTATCTTTTCTCCCCACATGGGGACTGAAACTATCCACTATGAGTTTTTAAAGCAGTTAGTGAGTTGAATAACAGAAGTTCGAACCCTTGGGCTTATTGTTTGAAAAACAGAATCAAAATCTCCCAGGATGGAAAATTACCTGAAATGAACTCACACTTTCATAAATGAACAAGTTACTCATGAAGAAAAAAAATCTTCACCTCTCATCACACTATATAAAAGATTGAAAAGGTCAAGAATCCACATTCTCATTCATCAATTATTAGTAAAACAGGAATAACCTATTGCCATCAAGTGCATCCCGACTCATAACCAGCCTATGGCACAGAGTAGAGTAGAACTGCCCCATATGGTTTCCAAGGCTCTGGTAGCGTCGTGGTCACAGTTAGCAGTTCGAAACTACCAGTGGTTCCTCGGGAGAAAGATGAGGCTTTCTGCTTCCATAATGATTTACAAACTCAGAAACCTCATACAGGATCACTGTGAGTCGGAACCAACTCGATGGCACATAACCACCACCACCAATCTTTAATGAATCAAACCACGTTTTTTCCCATGGAACAGCTGGTGGATTCAAACTACCAACTTTTCAGTTAGCAGCTGAAACCACTACCCCAGGGCTCCTTTTTATAGGGATTGTTGTTGTTGTTGTTTCTAAGTGCCGTCGAGTTGGTTCCGACTCATAGCAACCCTGTATAGGGTTTCCGAGGAGCAGCTGGTGGGCTTGAACTGCCGCCCTTGTAGCCCAGAGCATTAATGGACAGTGCCACACCAGGACTCCTTTTATAGGGATTAGTGATTAACAAATCATAGAGTTCTCATCATACTTTTATTATTAAAGTTTATCATTGAATGGATTTTCAAGTAACATGTGTTACCTTTATAAAAATGATTTGTGACTACAAGTATATGATGTGTTTGAATATGGCCTCTGTATTTGTATAATTTGCATCTTTTTTCCTACCATAATGGAGATTCAGGGTCAGTCAATGCTTTTATGGGATGAGACCTATACTCCCACCTAAACCTACACGTAATTAACTACCCACCATCATAAAAATGTAAAGTGAGTTGTGATTGTGAAGATCCTGCCTTCCCTACTGCTACTGGTATTCTCTCTGTACAAACTTTACTATGTATGGTATGACATCATGCCCTACACAAAGGCAGGGCATTTAGTAACATAACCAGATTAATTAAAGAATCAGTGAAGCTGCAAAATCCATGGTAAGTTGGGGTTTCTTGTTAAATGGTATAATCTGCTTCCTTTTTAATGAGGAGAGCGAGAGAAAGGGAAAGGCAGGAGATTTGTTTATAAATAAATTTTGAATGGCATTTAATTAAATATCCTGTAATGATTCAAATGATAAAGTTTAACCCACATATTCTAAACTATCTTGATGATTTGTGCATTCTTACTTTTTTTTTAATGCACAGTGAAACAAACTAAACAAAACCCCAGTTACCATGCAGTCAACTCCTACTCACAGCGACCCTGTAAGGACAGAGTAGATCTGCTTCAGAGGGTCTCCAAGGCTATAAACATTTAGGGAAGCAGATTGCCACATCTTTCTCCAGCATAACAGCTGGTGGGTTCAAACTGCCAACCTTTCAGTTTGTAGTCGAGTGCTTTAACCATGGCAACACCAACGTTCCTTATAAAACAAATTCGTAATTCTTTTCACTTCATAGGAGGATGAAGTTGTGATTTATATACATATAAGCAAACAAAACACAAAAAACACTACCTCTAAAAGTGATTTGCAATGTTCAGTGATGTCACTAAATATTTGAACTAGGAAGAAAGAGGAACTAGGGAATTCCCCTCTGTCCAAAACCAAAACTTGCTTTCCTTACGCCTCCTGGGCAATCTGAAAATTATTCAAAGGCCTTCAGAAAACTCGAACAATTTATAGAGTTATTTTATTCGATAAAATCTTTCTACATTGTTAATAAACATGTTTCCTCCAAGTTCCCACCTATGCCATTTTACTTCCTGGCCATTAATGTGTTCTTTTTTCTCTCCATACAACAAGAACACTTTATTCTTATTAAGGTCAGATTTTTATACAAGAGGTAATGGAGACACAGTATCATCAGCTCTGTAGCACAACACTGAGGCCAAGTGTGCAAGCAGCTTATTCCTGCAGAATTTCCCTTCAAGGGACCACAGACCATCTTTCAAATTTAACATTAACTTAATGCCAATGAACCATGGGTTACAAATGAAAAGAAGGAGAATACGGTGATAGAGGCAAAGATCCAACTACTATACCAGTTCTTCCTTCTTAAAAAACCATTAACCCGGTTAATTTAAAACCCAGATCAGACAAATATGCACTGAGGACTTTTTTGTTCATACTTAAAATCTAGAAGCTCAGTCTTGTCTGTTCATCATTTCACTCAGTGGACAGTTTAGCCTACCAAAGGACCCTTTCTTTATGGGGGTATCCTCATTTCCTGCAATGTTTGTTTACAACAAGAATTATTCCAAGGTTGCATTTTTGCAACATGGGCATTTGTTTTCGAAACCATAAAAAACAATTTCTATGGAATCAGCTCTAACTCCTGGTGACCACATGTGTACCCCACAGGGTTTTCAATGGCTGATTCTTCTTCAAGTAGATCACCAGGACTGTTTTCCAAGGTGTCTTTGTTGTTGTTAAGTGCCGTCGAGTC